AGGTCGAAGCGGTCGCGACATTCGATCCGGACTTCGAGGAAATGTTTTTCCAATTCGGAAGGTATCTCATGATATCGTCGTCGCGAACGAGTCTTCCGGCAAACTTACAGGTCATTCACAAAATGTTCCCGTTCAATCATTTACCATATATAAACTGTACATATCCATATACTCTATAAATACTGTAGTTATATATAGTTTCAAGACTAGCCTAGATACTATTATTATAAATACTAGATATTATTTTCTAGACTATTCATTAAAGAGAAACATGCACATTAATATGACAATGGTTATATTTGTATTACATTTATAGAAATTTTGTTATTTATATTAATTATTTAACTTCATATGATTATGATCAGGGTCTATGGAACGATAAAAATAAACCGTCCTGGCATTCGGACTATACGGCAGACATTAATGTACAAATGAATTACTGGCCAGCAGAGACAACTAACCTTGGTGAATGCCATTTGCCTCTATTTAATCTGATTCGGAGTCAATTAAACATTTGGCGCCAACAAACGCAAGCATCTGATCTACTACTGACACCTGAGGGCAAACACTCGTCAAAAGGGGTGGCCGTTACCGGTCAGCACAATATCTATGGAGGAATGGGTTTAGTATCAATGGCCGGACACATGGATTATGATAAAACGGTCACCGCTTGGTATGTATGAGGAAAAATGTGCCTCTTAAATAATATGTTACTGACTATTTGGTCTACTTTATAATCTAATTACGTTTATACAAATGTAACATGTCAAACTCTATCACTGACCCCTTAAAATCATACATAATTTATGTAAGTTTTTCCTAAAAGGCTAATCATCATAAAACAAGGTTATTAAAACACATTTTATTGATAAATGGGAAACATAGTGAGTAAATAGTAAATTATATACAGAAAATCTGTAATAAGACAAATAGCATGACCATATTGATCATTTAAATTGATCACACATGGCCATTATCATCAATTATTCCTATCAATTTAATTATAATCAATCTATGTCAATGACATTTTATGCATGAAATAACATTATCTCTATGGAGAGCACTATTTTTCATTTACCAAAATTTGTTTACATTGAGCACAGGTATGCGCAACACTTTTGGGAACATTACGCGTTCGGATTGAATGCAACATTTCTAAGGGAAGTGGCCTATCCTTACCTCAAAGAAGTGGTTGAGTTCTGGGACGAACACCTTAAGACTGTGACGAACGGCACTAAACAACAGTTGGGAAAACTGGTTGTCCCTCACGGGTGGTCACCAGAACACGGACCCGTTGAGGACGGCTGTAGTTATAATCAAGAGATCGTTTGGGATTTGTACACAAATTACGTGAAAGCGGCGGATGTGTTGGGAGTCGACAAAGAGTTCAGGGATCGCATGGCGGGTGAGAGGGATAGGCTTTTATGGCCAGGGATTGGATCGTTCGGACAATTGATGGAATGGATGGAAGAACAACCCGGAGAAAAGACCGATCATCACAGACATACTTCCCATTTGTTTGGCGTATTCCCTGGACACCAATTTAATTATGAGACAACGCCTACTTTGGCCAACGCGTCCCTGGTATAATATCAATATACTTTTATATACAGTATATATATTTTCACACATATACCTTAACTATACAATGGGTTAGGTTCACTGTACCATACAACCCTTATGTTTAGTTATTTTAGGGAAGGCTATATTGCAGTGAAACCAACCTACCTGATCTTAACCTACCATAAGAGTAATGCCGTGAAGCCAACCTACAGTTTGGCCAAAGCGTCCCTCGTAGACTAACCTTAAGACTATACCCCACAACTGTAGGTTTGGTTCACTACACTAACTTTATTTTAAGTTATGTTTGGGTATGTTGCATTACAATGAAACCAACATACCTAAACTAAACCTACAATAAGGGTAATCCAGTTAAACAAACCTACCATAGTTTAGAGTATATGCTTAAAAGTGAGTCTATTTTTATGGCCAACACTGTATTCACTGTTTATATCCCGTAAACACAACAAATAGGTATCGCTTAACACCAGAGGTATAGACCCTAAGAGTGATGTGAAGGAATGGTCGTTCGCGTGGCGGACAGCCATATACGCCCGGCTCAGGGATGCCGAGAACGCCCACCACTTGCTCCGCGAGCTGTTGTCCGCACGTAATACCTGTCCCAATATGTTTGGATTACACCCTCCGATGCAAATCGATGGCAACTTCGGTATAACCGCAGCCGTCGCCGAAATGCTGGTCCAGAGTCACGCAGAAGTCATAGAACTGTTGCCGGCTCTGCCCCGGGAGTGGACGGCCGGACACGCGAAGGGTCTGCGATCGAGAGGGGGTCACCAGTTGGACATCTATTGGGCAAATCATACGCTGAATAATGTTTGGATTGCGAGTGGGGTCGTCGCCGATGTTAAACTCAAAATTGGAAATACTGTCAAAACAATTAAAGTGGTTCCGTGTAATCCGATTCACCTGGATCACAATTTGAATCCAATTCCTTAGAGAAAATTTCATTGAATTTCATTTTGAAACAAATGTTTTATTAAAAACTTTCAGTTATATATATATTCTCTAATTTATGTTCAAATCATGCTTAAATTAATGACAGTATATAATGATAATAAATACAAAAGTTTATAATTAACACTACAAACTTTTATTTAATATTTTTTTTGATTTGACACGTAACTCGTGTTATAATAAATTAATTTTAAATATTTGCAATCAAAATAAACGTGTCATTACAGGGTTGGACATAATTTGTTAAGCAGTGGTTCCATAGACTGTTGCCACACCTCATAGCCTTTCGTATTGAGATGTAGTCCATCGGCAAATAGCTCCGACTTTTGGGTGCCGTTTGGAAACACATACGGAGTCCACAGGTCCTGGTAGAAGACGGTCTTATTATCGGCAAACTGCTGGATGAGTTGAGCCAACTGTTTGCCTTTAGAGCCCCTACGTTCAGGTCCCGGCAAAATGGATGTGAGTATGACTTTAGTGTCGGGCAGTTTGGCAGTCAATTCAGTCAACACTTGCTTTACTCCGCGAACAGTATCCTCGACGGTGTTATTCCAACCGATATCATTCGTGCCTTTGGTTTAGAAACACATTAATATTATAATTATAACAACAGTTGTATATAAAACTAACTAAACCTAAAATCGATAAATAAAAATGAATTCAAATCAAAGCTTTGAAAACATTGTTTACTCATTCAAACTTATAAAACTTTACTATTTATGTATCATATATAAAAAGTTTTTATAAGTTTGAATGGGTAAACATTGATTTTAATGTATAATTACAATTCATTTCTATTTATCGATTGCACGTTTGATTAATTTTATATACATTCAAAAATACTAACCGATCATAAGGACAGCCACTTTAGGGTGGAGACCATCAAACTCCTTATCTCTTATTCTGTAGATCAGGTTCTCAGTCCTGTCCCCTGATATGCCGTAGTTGTAGGCATGTCTGGGCGCGTAATACATGTCCCAGGTCACCCGTCCCACATTCTCCCAATGCTGAGTGATTGAGTCGCCCACGAATATGATCTGTGCATCGGTTCTATGTTGGACAGTCTGTGCAATGAGCCAGTTATGTCTGTCGATCCAACCCTGGTCACTTCTGGCCTTAGGTTCCCATGGGCATTGCATTTTTCAATAATAGTAAATTAATATGTACCAGTCTGTTGGCTAAATATGATTTTTTGGTCCGTTTATATGAATCTAAACAATAAGATATAAATCTATTATAAGTTATAATTTATAAAATACTGTTCATTTAAGTATGAGATATGTATGCGATTGGAGTGAATGTAAAAAACAGTTTAAAACAAAACACTATTTTTCAACACAAAAGTATAGTTCATTTAAATGAGAGATATGTATGCGATTGGTGTTAATGTCACAAACAGTTTACAACAAAATCACATTTAAAACACGTGTTTTCATTTAAAATTTTATAATTTAGATATTTTTTCAAAAATAACTTTAAAATAAAATCGCTTGCCACCTTATCTAATCAAATCATCACACGCTTAAACATACCATAAGTGTATTTACATACTGTATACAGTTTTATGTTATGTAAACCGGTTTTGTGTTGACTTCGTGTGCAATAGCATGACTATAATTATTAGCGTTATTACAAATTGTATTTAAAAATAATAATTTCTATTGAATTGATTGCCAGCTAATATGTTTGTGAATAAGAAATTATAAGTAAAATTGCATAGAGATTGCACAATGTTTTCTAATGAATACGGGATGTACACTACATTTGCAAAACTATATACACAACTGTATTAATGATTATTGTATTACTTTTGTCACTAGTGTGAATACTACTGTATTGAATGTATCGAGTGAATTAAATAAACTAAACGTTTTTAAATAAAAAGTCAAATAAATTATGATTAATTAGGTACCAGCCCTACGTAGTTGTGTTTTCAAATACTCACAATATAGTTTAAAATGTGGTATTGTTTTCTCTATAAGGAATTAAGTCATTATTTAATGTAAATTATTGAATAATTACACAAACATAACAATTATATTGCGGTTGTACAGTATTTATATGGGACAATATATAAATCGGAAATCTAAATATAGTAATTTAAATAAGCATACTTATTTTAATGATTGTATTATTGCAAATATTATCATCCTATTGACAATATATCCGGGAAATCTGTATTTACTTTTATGTATATGGCCGAACAATTTTTAAAATTCTATAAGTATATATATATTAAACTACAACAAGTTTACTATTAAATAATTATCAAATAAAATTTATTATTAATATCAAAATAATTTTAATTTATATTATTCATAATCATTTAAGTAAACATGTTGTGTGTTTATAAAATTATTATTACATTGTCCGCCGCGTACGTGGTTTTATCTCAATCAACTAAACAGTTTGACCATGGTAATCAAATCATGAGTAGTTTTAATTCAAGCAATATAAAAAGTGCCGATTCTTGTTTGAGCAAACTACCTTGCAAACTAATTTCTAAACAATATATTGATTCAGAAGTTTGTTTCCTTTATGATATGATTGATTGCATCAAGCGAGAATATGTAAGTTTGGTTTTATAACCTCATAATAATAACCTCACGTATAATATATAATAATGAAATATACAAAGCACAAATTAACAATTAGATTTTTACATTTAAAGCAAATAATATATATACATATTATTTAATGTACATAGGGCATTTGTAGTCAATCGGACCAGGATGACTTGGAAACACATTTTGATTATTTGATAATATACGCTGGGGACTCAGTAACTAAATACCCACGAAGTTGGTGCAAGGACCATGGGTATAATTCAAGCAATTTGTCAAAACCTAATCTCATGTTTGTTTTGGGTTTTGTGACATTCATTGCATTCTTAAAGTATATTAAATGAGTGTAAAATCGGAGCCTTCAAACATAACGTCCCTTTGAAATATGCTTGCTTATTATTTTACTGTCTATAAATTATAAAGTCACTAAATATAATTTTATATAAATATTTTAACAATTTAACAATTGATATAATCATTAATAATAATTATATTATAATGATATGTTTGTATAAAATTATAATTAACACTGTTCAATAAAATAATTTTTAAATAGTAGTATTTTGAATGCTAATAGTTTTATAATATCTATATTAATAGTATTACTATTTATTTAGGTTAAATATGATTTTTTGGTCCGTTTATATGAATTTAAACAATTAAAATTTAAACAATAAATTTGTGACTTTTATATGCGTTATTATTTATAAATAATAATTTCTATTGAATTCATTGCCTATTGATTACTAATATGTATGTGAATAAGAAATTATAAGTAAAATTGCATAGAGATTGCGCAATGATTTCTAATGAATACAGGATGTGCACTACATTTGCAAAACTATATACTGTATATAGTATTAATGATTATTGTATGACTTTTGCCAATACTGTGAATATAGTGACAACTAGCCTTGTAACAACTTTGCATTTATAAAGTATTGATTCAATACTGGTTATTTTATTAATCTCAATCACTTAAAGTTAAAAGCCATAATTTGAAAATTAATAATAATTTTCTTTTCACCTATACATATATAATCATATTTAATATTTAATCATATATAATTATATTTATCAGTCATAAACTTGTTTATTATGTTTTTTGCTTATTATTAAAGGCAAACCGTTTCGCGTAGACTAGTTTTTAACAAATATTTTGGTTTCAATAACTGGTGTTTATTGGTATTGAATGCAGACATATCGAGCCATTTGCCGACAAAAGGGTTCGCAAAGGGTCTCCAATAGGTCTCCAATAGGTCTCCAATAGGTCTCCAATAGGCCTTAACTTTCACTGTATAAGGCATTTGATATCAGTTTTGATTCATTTGAAATCCTAAAAGCTTTAAAACAATACATGAATAGATGCGACCGGAAATAAACTGTAGACATATTGACACCAACACAGGTGTCTCATTGCAAACCCTTTTGTCGGCAAATGGCTCGATATGTCTCCATTCAATACCAATGAACACCAGTTATTGAGACCAAAATATTTGTTAAAAACTAGTCTACGTAAAACATTGCCTTTAATACTTATGATTAACAAATATCATAAATATAATATCACATATATTATTCATTTAAATCAAATATTATATTTATTAGTAAGGTGATATTATAAATAAAATAACTTGTGTTGAATCAAATGTTTGAAAATGTAAAGTTGTTACAAGGGTAGTTGTCACTTAAGTGACAATTTGAAAACCAGTGCTCAATACTGTTGTATTGACTGTATCGAGTGAATCAAATCAAATAAAAGTTTATAAATAAAAAGTCTAATAAATTATGATTAATTAGGTACCGGCCCTATGGGCGGATAGCCGTATTTTCAAGCGCCCACAGTATAGTTTAAAATGAGGCCATGTTTTCTGTTTAAGGGAAATGTCAATATTTAATGTAAATTATTGAATAATTACCCAAATATAACAGTTATATTACAGTTGTACAGTATTTATATGGTACATGACATAAATGGCAAATTTTCTAAAAATAGTAATTTAAATAAGTATAATTATTTTAATGATTTTATTATGGCAAATATCCTATTGACAATATATCCGGGAAATCTGTATTTATTTATTTTTGTATATGAAATATTTAAAATTTTATAATTATAGATATTAAAATACGGCACGTTTAATATTAAATAATCAAATACAATTGATTATTAATATCAAAATAATATCAACTAAAATTTGTCATAATAATTTAAGTAAACATGTTATGTGTTTATAAAATAATTATTACATTGTCCGCCGCGTACGTGGTTTTATCTGAATCACCTAAACAGTTTGACCATGGTAATCAAATAATGAATATTATTAATTCAAGCACTGTAAAAATTTATGATTCATGTTTGCACAAACTACCTTGCGAGTTTCATTTTATACCATATACCGAATCAGGAATTTGTGCACTTTATGACACAATTGATTGTATCAAGCGAGAATATGTAAGTTTGGTTTTTATAACTTCATAATAATAACTTCACGTATAATGAAATATACAAAAACACAAAATAACAATTAAATTTTAAAATTTTAATAAAATATTACATAAATATTACCCTGATTATCGGGAGATTGTACGCATCGGCGTATAGTACGCATTCAATAATTACCGAAAAATCGTGTTTTTTACTCGTATAATACGCATCCGGCGTATAGTACGCATAGATTTTGAAAATAAATATAAGCCTAAAAATGTTTTAAATATGTTTAAATATGCTTCCATTACTTCAAAATATGTCATAATAATTAATATATA